ATTTTCTTTTCATCTTATTCCTAAAGCTGCCTCCAGTGTTACACATGCAGGTCTTGCTCTTGTACACACTTCAAGGCAGTGAGTGGTTATTTTCATGAGTGGTGAAGAATCTGACTGTGATCTGTTTAAGGTCTTCTAGGACCTTACTACACTCTTGACAGCTAGACTTCAGATGGTTTCTATTTAAATTTGATTGTGTGTAACTTTAGCCTTCAGTGAAATATACTGGTTCTTGTACTTAGATCAGTCACCAAAATGAGTTTCTTGGACAAAATTCCCTGGCTTTTTGCTGAACTAGCGAGTCTTTACCTTGCTATTGAATTGAGGGCAGAAATTCTTTTCGGTTATTGCTTCAAGGATATTTTGAGTCAAAATACTGACATCAGGATTTTTCACAATGCTTTATTGGGTGTAATTAGAAACACTTCTGACTATTAATATTAACTTTGAGTTCTCAAACTGTTCTGTATCTTGGGGATAACATCTGAAGAATAATCTTTAACAAATATTAAGTCTTTTCTTACATGAAAGCTTCTCTCCTTTGGAAAGAAAGAGGCTTATACTACATATGAAACTGGGACAAAACAATAGTTGAAAAATTAAAACAGTGAACTAAGAGGAGAAGAATGTTTATAAAAAGAAACAGCTGAACAGGATGCTTTCTGAGACAAGGAGTTTAGATTAGTGATAGTATGTATGATTTATTTTGTCTGTCAGGGCAGCAAGTTATTGCTTGAACTTGTTCAGAATGTGATCACCGGATTAACATCCTTCTCCTGCCATATCGCTTCTGTTACTGTTTTTTAAAACTTGTAAAATTCACTGTGGTGATCTATCAAAACTATTCATGGGCTTTCTGAAGCATGTAGAGGAGTGCCTTCGTGAGCCAAATTCTTTAAAGAATATAAACAGTATATGATAGCTTGATGCTTTTTGTTACTGTTTTCCTGTGGTTGAATAGTGATTACATAAGTTGATGAAGTATTTCTGGAAGGAAATTCATGGCAAATTTTGTACTCCCTGTAGTGGAAGTACTATGTTGCATTTTCTCAACCAAGAAGTGCTATAATGTTGTTGTAACAGTGCCAGCAGCTCTTCTGAAGTGAGGAACACATCCTGGTATATACCAAGTCTGAATTTAAAGCACCCAACAAATTACTTTAACAGTATGTGTTTTGTTTGATTTTTCTCTGTCCCTCTCTTTTATTTGCACCCAACCTTTGAGAAAAATGTGTCCTCAAATAGAGGTTTTAAACCCACGGAGATGTTCAGCTGTCAGTAAAAAGCCACTCAAAGAACACTTTGGTCAAATGTGGCAGCAGTGTTCTGCTGAGATGTTTAACAAAAATCACTGTTTCTAGCCTGGGTCTCGTTGCATGGAATCTCATCTTTGTTTTAGGGTGCTGAGTACTTTTATCTGGAAAATGATCCTCCCTTCCCTGATTGTTTCATGGAATTGAAGAGGTAATTCAGTCTGTAGAGTAGTAATGAAGATCACCAGTGTCAGCAAAGCCCATGTGGACTGTAAAGATTTCCTGGATGGTACGTGTTCCAGTTAGAAATTGGAACTCATTAAGTCAAACTAGTATTTAGCTTTCAGATAGAGAAATCAGCATAAAATTCTTTTTTTTTTTTTTTTCTACAAGCAACTAAGTGAATGCCACTTGCAGAATGGGTCGTTTACGCTACAAACTTCCTATTTGCCCACTTTTCCTTTCCTGGGTTTCAAAGAGGTACTTGAGGGAGAATAAAGTACAATCAGCATTCCATTCATGCTGCTCTAGTGTGTTTCGAGAGAACTTTGTTCTTTCTGTGGAGGGTGAGTGCAGCTATATTAGGACAAAAAAAATGGATTTAATTCCACTTTGATCTAAACCAAGATTGACAAGAAAAGTGTTTTGATATATGAATTATTATATAAAGACTTTTAAAATAGACACAGTGAAAATTATTTTTCTAAGTTGAATTGGTGTTGAAAATAAGTTTCCCTTATGCTCCTCCACTGAAATCCAACAATCATCTATTGAACCATAATGTAACTCTACGACAATATACTGTGAGAGAACTGGTGAAGTACCGCTGTTGGTAGAGAGCTGGGAGACCCACTACTGTGTGCTTTGTGCCTGCCTTTATCACAGAATCAACTAGGTTGGAAAGGACCTTGAAGATCATCCAGTCCAACCATTAACCTAGCACTGAC